TTGGTATTTGTTTTTTTCTCTCAATGAGATCTAAGACAAATTTTGGCCAAAAAAGAAAATTCCCGACAAATAAAATTTTGCTAGAAATAATCGGCAAGATTTACTAGCAGCCACCAGTAATTCAGTAGCAGTAGTACTAATATTAAAACAACATTTATTAAGAAAAAAAAATGAAAAACGAAGAAATTAAACCTGGATTTGCTATTTTCGCGTTTCATTGGCGTAAGTTCCGCGTTTTGGACGATTCTTGTCCGTTGATCCGTTGGAAAATTTTTCAACTGTAGAATCATGGAAAAGCTCCGAGCCTTTTCAGGCATTTTAATTTATTTTGCTTCTACCCGTTTTACGATTTATACCATGTTTGGTGTGACTTGTGAGAGTTTTTACTTTTTTGAATACTGTTATATGTGATAAATTTAAATTTTTATTAGAGGAAAAATAAAGTTTTTACTTTTAGAGATATAAAAAAGTGAGTAAAAAAAATTTATAAAAAATTTAGATTTGAAACTTTTGAACTTTTATTATTTAAGAGTTTTTTTAGATTCAAAAAATATTTAAAAATGTAAATTTTTTTTAAAAAAATTTAAATTTATAAAACATAAATAATGTCCAAAAACTGAAACTTTTAAGAGTGGATCCAAACATGCCTTTCTATGCACTGGTTTTTTACCGTTTTATTTCAAGTAATATAAAATGACGGAAATACCTACCTACTAATACGACTTTTTTATCTTTTTCCTTTTTTTCTTTTTTTACGTTAAATCCTTAAATTTTGGAAAATAAAATGAATCACATGTCATTTATTAAAAATAAAAATATCCTTTTAAGCTTCAATTTACATTTTTTTTTTGCCTATTTTCATAAAAAAATCAAATTTTAGTTGTAAATAGTAAACATATTGCTTTTTATTGTATTACTTACTTTGACTACAAAAAGGGATAACTCTTGATTTGGGAATATGGTCTTACATTTAAGAGTTCCCCTCCCGTTAATAGCTAATTTTATTTTTATACAATTTAAAAT